CAAAAGTAAGTATTTTTTTGTTTTTTGTAGATGATCACATTGGTACAGGTAGTTTGCTAAGATCTCCACCAAGTTCAAAAGACGGTGTTCAGATTGCAGTGGGATCACCGCAGGTACGGCTATAACTATCATCCATACACACTATTCATACATGTTTTAGATTCCAACACACCCCTGTGGGAGATATGAAATTCTTACGAGGATGCCGCAAAGTATTGACCAAAGTGTAGCTGAGTTAGATGTGACAGTGTACTGTCTGAGTACATGTTTTATAGTATTCTCGTAGTAACCTTTAGCTAAAGAAAGAAAAATAATGCCTTTCCGGTATTAAACCCACCCTTGCCTTTTCCAGGTCGACCCTGTGTCTTTTTTCATTGCCAAACTGGAAAATTGGGACTTGTAGGTACTGTAAAATGACTAATTTTCACTGGGTTTAAATTTCGCTGATTTACCATTTCAGGCATATTCAGTGGGTTTTAAATCCACGGTTTTATCATTTAGATAATGTGTTCTATGCTAAATTTTACATATTCACTGGGTTTTAATTTAGCGCATTTTCCAGTCAGCGAAATAAGCAAAATTATAACCCAGTGAATAATTAACCCCTTTACAGTACTCCTTTCAGCTCTATTTAAAATTCTTCATTTTGGAACCAAAATGTCAACCTGTACATGCAAGATATGGTGTGTTATAGACAAAAATAACAATATTGGCCAAGCAGCATTCCCGAATAATAAATTGAGAATAATTAATTGCTTTTCATACAATAAAAAGTTATTCCTTTCTGTCTCAGGGATTGAAATATTATTTTTTTCCTTGCATGCACAGTGTGCATGTTGAATTTGAAATTTACCTGCACTAAATTGTTGTGAAATGCACCACTTTTAAAGTTATAATAAAATTTACTAGTTCTCGATCAATGTGAACACGAAAGAATTTGCTTTTTTTTAGTTACCTTACATAATTGTTGACTTAATTTAGCTTAGTGAATATATGAGAAAATGTTGTGTTCATTGCTACATGCACAGCGTGCACATTATATTTTGAGTTTATTTGCACGAGCTGATAATCTATGTGCATAGTGCAGTGTGCACCAGAGTATTTCGACCCCTGTGTCTCTACTTTTGTTTTCAGTGTTACCAGAAACACGCTGTTAATTTTTCATATAACCTTATTATTATTCTACATTTTATCAATCCAAACACTTGTATGCCCAGGATTGAGGAAAATTATGAAAATTTAATATGGCTTCAATTAATCATTATGACTAGATAAATACAATATACGAGATATTGTAATGCAATACTTAGCTAGACAAGGTCGCGTGAGTTGCGCCCTCTCCGGTACTCCAAACCCAACACACGTCTGACAGAACAATGTAGTTTTTCACTTCCCCCAATGATTTTATTGTTGGTACCAATCAAATTGCGTGAATTCGCAATAGAGATCTTGCTGACAATACATACAGTATTCTGTCAGGCGAGGGCACCACTCACAAGACTACATGTCAGGCTAACCAATAAACAGTGCTATTTTCTTTGAGTGGACACTGCAGTGGTGCGTCTATGATAAAAGTAATAATGTATGTACATACTGGTAGAGGGCACAATTGATTTTTAATGTTTCAACATAAAAAAAGCAATTATTTTTCTTCATATAATATGCTCTGATCAATTTGGTCCAAAATATTAATAATTTTAAAATAATAAAGACTTGATGTTCTTTTAGGGCAATGCAGTATATAATGTTGAAGCTGACTATGACAAGGATTTACAGGATTCCTCGCCACTGCTGTGCTTGCAGCAAAACATGGAATACCAGAGAGCTATTGAAGAAGAAATCAAGAAATTACACTTCATGATTGCAACCAATAATAAGAGACAGGTAAATTATTTCAATTTATTTGCCAATTATGAATCTCAATTTTATGATTTCAGCTTTCAAAGCTGGTATTCATGCTCCGTAGTCTGTATTCTCCAAGCAAGATGTGTTTATTTGTTATTTATCTCCTCAAAACTATGGCCGAGTCAGAGCATATATATATGGCAGAATATGATACTTAAAAAATACAAGCTCCTCTCTGATTGGTCTGACTGTTAGGTGTTATGGTTAGGTAGCCAATCAGGCACACTTTTCTAAGTAGCTTTGGATTGACTTCAACACTATACTATTCCGAGGATGTTTTAAAGTGTGCCCTCTTTGACAATTTGATATCCCACCTTTTTGTTTCTATGGGCTATGCCAGCTCTGATTGGACACATTTTTCAGACGCTTTACCAATCAGATTTATGCACTTTACCACAGCTTAATAGCTTAATATTGTGTGCAAGGTAGGGCAATATGAGATAAATGATGATAAATAAAAACTGGTCAAACTTGTTTTAAAAATGTGGAAATTTTTTTTTTTTTTTTTTTAAATAAATTACGGCACCCAAATTTTAAATGGTTTTATTAATATTAACAGAGGGTGCAATAGTGAAATAAGTTTGAAAAAAAGATTGGTGCACTTATTTGGAATGCATGCTGACCAGATTTTCTGTTTTTGTCCCAAGGAAAGTACAGACTATAAACAGTGACTATTTCGTGAATTTGTGTTGAAAAGAGGGAATTGGTGGTAAACAGGTTATTGATCTAGTCAAATGGTCAATGTCTTGGCAATGGAGTTATATAATGTAACAGAGCTACACAATGTACAGTGTATATTCCTAAAATCATATTTCTATAAAATGAACTGTGAGTGCAACTTTAACACTTTGTGCACTATTGACTACTTTTGACACCATTAACAAAATGGTTTCGTACAGTCTGCTCCTCTCGACATGAAATGTTTATAAAAAATGACAAACCTTTTGATTAAAAACTAAAAGCAATATCTAAAGCTGTCTGTCTGGTCCAAAATAATGATGAAATTTTGTGAGAATTTTAAAGAATGAACAAATATTTGCACTGTTTTTTAGGGCGGGAAAAAATATCTGGCCCTCAAAAGTTTAACAAATACATTGAAGTATAGTAACACCTTGTGTATTTCTCTTTCAGAATGAAATCAATCAAGAGTTAAATGGTGATAAATCCTCATCTTTACAAAGCAAGTCAACGTTTAAAAGTTTTTTTAATAGATATTTCCAGGAAGGCACTTGTAAAGAAGGCACCTATACAGTGAGTATCACATTATTTAAACACAACTTCTCGCTAAACTTTAACATATTTCAGAATCTTTTGTCTTTTTTTAATAATTTCTTTATTCATTTTGTAGCTACTGGATTAAAATGGGTCTTGCGCAAAAATTTGAAAGAATGTTAAAATAATTATGCAGATTTATTTTGTCAAAGATGAATTTGTCGTATAAAAGGTTGATTGATTTCGTTCAAACTTAGTACAAAGACACGTCATACTGGTTGACATATGCACATCAATTTTTATTTTATTTTTGTTTAATCTTCGGATGACTGGTGGCCATTTTTATCTTAAAAAATCAACATTTGTACATGTCGTTGTTTCTCAGGCTTGGCTTGACTGATTGACATCTCTCATGTTGGGTTACTGATGCATTTTTTTTTTCTTTTATGCCATGCATCCTACATATAGATGTATAGTTGTTGTTTCTTGATTTGATTAAAATTGGCTGACTGGCGGCCATGTTGTTTTCATTGTCAAACTTCTCAGACATTCTTTGTCCAATATAGTTTGAATGTTGTCACTTTTCAAAAGTTAAATAATTTTTCTATTTTTTCCAAAATTTTGATCAGATCTGTAGCCAATTAGAAATTATGTCCATTTGATCCAATATTACTCAAAAATATTATCAAAAATTTATGAAAACTGACAACATTTTGGAAAAATGATGCACTCAAAGGGTTAATGATATTGTTTATACTTACTTACAGGTACCACCTATGAACAAAGAAACCAAGTTGAGACAGAAACTTGGTTATCAAAGTGCACATGTTGGTAAACCTAGGAAATGTGAGTCAACAGCTATAAATCAGCTATTGTTATTGGCTACTTTTAATCACATGACAACCAGAAATGATTATTCATTCATAATCAGAAACCTTATTGGTCAGTGTCAGTCACATGACCATCAGCAATGATTATTCATCCATAATCAGAAACCTTATTGGTCAGTGTCAGTCACATGACCATCAGCAATGATTATTCATCCATAATCAGAAATCTTATTGAGGTTTATGAAGTTACTGCATTTATTGTATATAATATAGGTACTATAGCTTCGTCTCCATCTAGTTCCAAACCGTCTTATATCTCAGACAGGTGCCTTAGTATAGGGCACATATTTTTTATGTCATTTTACAGTACTGGTACTCATTCCGCCTAACCTCTCGCTTTTATTGCTTTTTGTCCGACCGCTCATTGCTTAATTTTCAACCACTCACTTCTTTACGACCGGAAAACGATCACATATTTTCGCCCTTTTTCCAGTCACTCGTTTATAATTTGGTCATAAACCTGTGGTATTTCGGTGTCTCATAGACAAGACATTGTGAGATACATATGCATATCATTTTGTTTCACTATCTAGAACAGCCAACTGGCAGACATTTTTTTCATGAATGTACTTTTACATGCCTTGGATAGTTATTTCAGCATTATTTTATAATGTTCTTAGCTCTGCTGTCAACTTTGACGAGTGGAACTTATCATATGTGATAAGTGATTGTTTTTTCATTTTTGGTAAAAAGTGATATTTTTGACTTCTTGTTAAAACTGCAAGTCTGATTGCTTTGATATTATACATATAGGTACTACAGGTCACAGTCCCTCTATCTATAGAAGAACTGTGTACAGGTGAACCTCTCAGATTTGTTCATTTCATGATGATATTTTCAATTCTCTAATTTTGATGAATATTTTTTTCATTTTTGGTAAAAAGTGATATTTTTGACTTCTTGTTAAAACTGCAAGTCTGATTGCTTTGATATTATACAATATAGGTACTACAGGTGGACCTCTCAGATTTGTTCATTTCGTGATGATATTTTCAATTCTCTAATTTTGATGAATATTTTTTTCATTTTTGGTAAAAAGTGATATTTTTGACTTCTTGTTAAAACTGCAAGTCTAATTGCTTTGATATTATACAATATAGGTACTACAGGTGGACCTCTCAGATTTGTTCATTTCGTGATGATATTTTCAATTCTCTAATTGAAATGTGCATGCTAACAGTGGAGCTGTCTCAGTTGAGAGGTTACTTGTAAATGATCAAAATAAGTTCTAATGATCTAGATTTATAATTGCAATTTTTAGGTCTATATGCACTTTCTCGTAATAGTGTAATTATGATACTGGGCTCAAAATCACAAATTTGGCATTTAGGAAATTTCAGATGAATACCATCTCAAGTTAGATAACTCTTTTTCCATTTTGTTCAGGGCAACCACGAGAGAAGACTATTCTTCACAAAGCGGTTTCTAGTGAACAAAAAAAGCGGCTCATGCAGCCATTGATCAATAAACAGGAAGTTTTAGAACGGAAGCTCACTTCACCACTTGAACTAGAAGAGGTGACAGAGTTGAAGAAAGATATAAACAATCTGAAGCTACAGATCAACGCTATCAGGTACGATGAAAGTTATTTTATCGGGAACACTTTATTCATATTAATTATTCGTTATTGATTCGTTTTATTTTCACTTTGAGTCATAGTATTGTTGTATTCCTTTAAAATTACATGTATCCCTATGGTAAACCATGGAACTATAAACCCCAGGAAGAACAACGAAACTAAGAGGATTAAAAAAACCTTTGTCTTAGTTTATCTTACAGTGCTTTCGCT